ACCCCGAGCCGCGAGCGGGCGCCGAGCGCGGGCCTCGGGGGTCCCGGCCCCCGAGAGAAGCCGCTTCCTTGGTTCCCCGAATCGCCCTCACAGGCCGCTTCGGAGGCTTTCCTCCCTGGTCTCTCTCACACCCTTACGATCGACCCCGCATGTCTATCTCAGACATCTCCTTGGAGGACGGTTCCTAGCGCCCCCAAATCTCCCTCGGAGACCCCCTGACAACCCTGTCCCAGCCCCTCCGACGCTCCCAGGTCTTCCCAGAAGCCTACTCCTTCAATTCCCATACGCTTTTCCAGAGACCTTACTGGGTCTTCGAAATCGTCCTCAGAGAACCGCTCCCCGCCCCACAGCCGGCCCTGGCCCCAGTCCTCCATCCTCCTCTTCTTTCCAGAAATATTCCCCGAGGCCACTCCTCGGATATTCCAGCGATATGTGTCAGATGTCTTCTCCAGGAGCGTCCCTCGGAAGCCCTAAAACCTTCCTTCACAGTCTTCCTCAAATCCCCTCCAGACCTGACATTTCCGGAATCTCCCCCAGAGACTGACTTCGGATAGCCCCACAGTCTCCCTTAGACTTCCCTCTCACACATCCCAGGAATTTTCCCTCCCACCTACCCCCATACCAGAAGTCGCCCGCGATATTTTCCACTCAGAGCCCCCAAATCTCAGAAGCCCTCCTCCAAATCCTTCAGAATGTCCCTGATGTGTCCTGAAAATCTTCAGAGACTCTGAAATGTCCTCAGATCCCCAAAACCCACCTGGACGACCACTCCACCACCAGCTATCTCCCATACACTCCCTCTTCATATATCTCAGAAGTCATACCTTTGGATCCCTCCAGAGATCCCAACATTTCTCCCAGAGACGACCTCATGTCCCTTAAATATCACCCTGAAATACCCTAGAGATTACCTTCATGTATCCCAAAGATCTTCCCCTGAGCCCCCTCACCCCATCCCACTCATCTCAAAAACCTCCGGAGATTCCCTGAAATACTATGGTGAACTCTCTTTCCACATTCCAAAAGCCTCTTCTGAAACCTTTCTTGTGTATCCGAAATCTTACCCATACCAGATGTTCTAAAAATTGCTTCTTCAGGATTGCAAGAAGTTTCCTTAACAGGTTTTCTCTACAACCTCCCTTTCTAAATCTACTTTTAGATGAACTTTTTTAACATCCTCCTCACAATCCCTGTAAACCCTAAGGCCCCCTTCACGACCCTTCTGAGATGCAGTTTTTCAAGATCTCACATCTTCTCAGAGATCCCAGCAACCCCCTGAGCCTTCCTGAGATGTGCCCTTGAAATCCCTGCCAGAGACCTTTCCAACACCACCCAGAACTCCTTGAATCAATTGAATCACCACTGAGAAACCTCCTGCCTTTTTAAGAGACTTTTGCTAGAGATTTTCTTCCCTGAACTCTCCCTCACAGTTTCCCTCAAATCCTCTAGAATCCTCTGTAGA